CGGCTCCGGGTCACGTGACGGCTCTCTGGAGAGGCCAGGTAACGGCGGAAGGGTCCCCTGGAGAGGCCAGATAACGGCGGGAAGGTGTCCTGGGGAGGCCAGGTAACGGCGGGAGTGTCCCCTGGAGAGGCCAGGTAACGGCGGGAGGGTTCCCTGGAGAGGTCAGGTAAAGGCGGGAGGGTTCCCTGGAGAGGCCAGGTAACGGCGGGAGGGTCCCCTGGAGAAGTCAGGTAACGGCGGGAGAGTTCCCTGGAGAGGTCAGGTAACGGCGGGAGGGTTCCTTGGAGAGGCCAGGTAACGGCGGGAGGGTCCCCTGGAGAGGTCAGATAACGGCGGGAGTGTCCCCTGGAGAGGTCAGGTAACGGCGGGAGGGTTACCTGGAGAGGTCAGGTAACGGCGGGAGGGTTCCCTGGAGAGGTCAGGTAACGGCGGGAGGGTTCCCTGGAGAGGCCAGGTAACGGCGGGAGGGTCCCCTGGAGAAGTCAGGTAACGGCGGGAGAGTTCCCTGGAGAGGTCAGGTAACGGCGGGAGGGTTCCTTTGAGAGGCCAGGTAACGGCGGGAGGGTCCCCTGGAGAGGTCAGGTAACGGCGGGAGTGTCCCCTGGAGAGGTCAGGTAACGGCGGGAGGGTTCCCTGGAGAGGTCAGGTAGCGGCGGGAGGGTTCCCTGGAGAGGCCAGGTAACGGCGGGAGGGTTCCCTGGAGAGGCCAGGTAACGGCGGGAGGGTTCCCTGGAGAGGTCAGGTAACGGCGGGAGGGTTCCTTGGAGAGGTCAGGTAACGGCGGGAGGGTTCCCTGGAGAGGTCAGGTAACGGCGGGAGGGTTCCCTGGAGAGGTCAGGTAACGGCGGGAGGGTTCCTTGGAGAGGTCAGGTAACGGCGGGAGGGTTCCCTGGAGAGGCCAGGTAACGGCGGGAGGGTTCCTTGGAGAGGCCAGGTAACGGCGGGAGAGTTCCTTGGAGAGGTCAGGTAACGGCGGGAGGGTTCCCTGGAGAGGTCAGGTAACGGCGGGAGGGTTCCTTGGAGAGGTCATGTAACAGCGGGAGGCCCCCTGGAGAGGCCAGGTTACAGCGGAAGGGTTTCGTAGAGAGGCCAGACAACGGTGGGAATGTCTTGGGAAGGCCGGGAGACGTCGGAAAAGCCTTTCGGAAAGAGAGCAACTGTGAAAGGACTCCCTGGAAAGGCAAGGCAGCGGCGATGTGTATAACATCCCTCAGTTCAGTGTTTTGCGCATCGCCTCCGTCACAGTGCATTGTAAAGAAGAACAGGTTGTACACGCGTTTCGAACCACTTAAGTAGGTGGATCAGGTCAGAGATCCTCTTGTGTAGCCGGACAAGTTTGTTTCGAGGCAGACGTTATCCAGCTGCTCATCATTTGCCACCGGAGGCGACGCTCAGACCGATCAGTCGATGTCAGCAGTGTTTCCGCCGGCAGATTTGCGGCAGATTTCGGCCATGCTCGGAGGGCTGCTCGTGCCGCCGTGGGAAAATGGCCGGCAGTCTAAGTGGATGCGTGAGGGGGAGGGGGACGAGTGCTGGCTGCCGCATTGTCGGCGGTGGGTAGGCCTGAGGACGATCGCGGCGCCGCACGGCTTTGTGTGCGCCGGGAATCCACATTTCTGTGTGGCTGTACACTAGGGTGTCGCTGTGCAGAACGCGTCGGCTTATGTATGCCGAGGGCCGGGCTGCGCCCGCGGCGCGTGGACGACCGAACCGTGTTTGGCGTCCTTCGGGGATTGAATTACGGGTGACGGCGGAATGACCAGAACACGCGGCATTTATGTATGCCGTGACCTATTTCCTGCGGCAACGTTGTCAGAATGTTGGCACACTGGTGTTTGTTGCAGTCTAGGCTGTGATCCAGCCATGGTTGCTGGAAGGGCGCCAGCTGACTCCTGGCGCATCGTCCAAAAATATGGTGGGGAAAGGGCAAACATTAGAGTTTCCACAAAACGAAAATAATGTTTTCTGTTTGCTGGTTGCAGCGTTTTCATAATTTTGTGCAATTTTGCTCAGTATTGCAAACCCGAGACAAGCAATGTGTGGGAGGGCATGACTGCTTTAAACAGATCGAGACCCCAACCAAAACGGTTACGTAGTCGCCTATGGCTTACCGTGGCGGTCATTCCCATCACAGCTTGACGGCCTGCTCGAGGTCGGCGACCGCGGCCTCTCTGGGAGCCAGACGGCCGGCGGCCTGGTGTCGCCGCGCGTCCCGGGTCGTTTCGTTGATCTCACGTAACGTCGGCCGCGGCTCGCCGCCGCCGGCCGCTCCGCCGCCGGTGCCGTGATGTATGTACCGCCTCGTGCCGACGATCAATGCCGGTGGCGACCCGGCCCGGGCCGCCGTGTCCCCTCCCCCTCCCTCCCCCCGTGTCCCGGACCGCGGCCTGGCCTGCGACAGCGCCGCTCGGAGCTCTCCGGACCCGCTGCTTGAAGCGGTCGTGGGTGACTGCCGAGACGCCGCTCCCGACCCGACGGACCCGAGAGACTCGATCGATGAGGCTCGGTCCCGCCTGTCTTTGTCTTGATTAGTTGGCTCGATTGTCTATCTTCTCCGATAGCGTGATGTATGTTTCTGCTGCTGCTGGGCCGTTCTGGGTCGCGGAGCTGTGAATTGAAGTAGATACCGGTGGGCTGTTGCCAGCGCCACAGGAGGCCGAGCCCCACTCGTCGCCGGCGCCACTGATTGCTGGGCGGGCAATAAGGCGGCATTGTTCCCCGCACTGGCATGGCATGCCCTGCTGGCTAATGTCGCCGCAGCACGCTGTGGCGGTGGACTGCAGTGCGCTTGGCCACCGGACAAACAAACAGGAGACCTGATGCTGAAGGCTGGTTCTGGGAAGCGGGGGGGGGGGGGGGGAAGGGGGAGGGGTTGCAAGTCTCTAAGTGAATTTTCGCCGTTTGTCAGTCGGGTTCGTGGCGATAGCTGGTTGCTTTGCGCAGCCATAGATTCGGTCATGAAATGTGTTGAAATTGCTGTTTATTATCGACAGAAATGCGACACCATCTGGTGGCTCTCCTTTAGAAGCTGGTTTTAGAAGAGAGCTGGGTGTTGGGACCAGGATATACAGAATATAGCTGTACCGTGTGAACCTGACCGTAGCTCATGTGTGGTGGACTTCATGCTTTGTGTTCGGTCCCTCGCCGATGTTCGTCATTCATGGGAGCCCGCGGCAAATTGGTTTTCAATTAGATCGCCTCGAATGAGTCTGCCTGAAACGAATTGCCCAGGACCCCATTGATGGGATGGAGCCTTGCACGTCCGGCCGAGCCCGGCAGACCGGGAGCGGGGCCCAGAGGCCCTGCGAGCCGAGCTTCGGCAGACAGAGGCCCTGCGAGCCGAGCTCGGCAGACCGGGAGCGGGGCCCAGAGGCCCTGCGAGCCGAGCTCGGCAGACCGGAAGCGGGGACCAGAGGCCCTGCGAGCCGAGCTCGGCAGACCAGGAGCGGGGGCCCAGAGGCCCGGCGAGCCGAGCTCGGCAGACCGGGAGCGGGGACCAGAGGCCCTGCGAGCCGAGCTCGGCAGACCGGCAGCGGGGACCAGAGGCCCTGCGAGCCGGGTTCGGCAGACCGGAAGCGGGGACCAGAGGCCCTGCGAGCCGAGCTCGGCAGATCAGGAGCGGGGGCCCAGAGGCCCGGCGAGCCGAGCTCGGCAGACCGGGAGCGGGGCCCAGACGCCCGGCGAGCCGAGCCCGGCAGACCGGGAGCGGGGCCCACAAGCCGCTGCGAGCAGCCGCCTTCTGGTGATGCCAGACCAGCCGCGGCTAGCAGGCTGCGGCCGCGGCTGGCGCCGCTCCGACAGGGAAGCCCCGGCTAGCACGCTGCGGCTCTGGCTGACGCCCGTCGCTGGCCGCTCTGGAAGGGAAGCCTGCCGCCAGGGCTGTGACGTTGATTCGAGCGTCGCTCTCCATCCGTCGGGTTCGGGTCGACCCTGTACGGCTTCAGATGCCAGAATGCGTCTTGAGATCCGCGAGAGCTTCTGTCGTTTTCTAGCCCGGCTTGGGAAATGGCGACCTGGATTTTCTCATTGAAATCTGTTAGTGGAAGAAGCCATTTGAAGTTTGAAGCCATACGTGTCTGGGTCGACTTTACATTGGATTTAACACCTGAAAGTGTGTTCAGATTTTCAGGAGATTACGTCGCCTTTTAGCCCGACGTGGAAAAGGGGCACCACTCAATGCTCACCATTTATGATTCCCACACAGGCAAGATTCTTTCGTTTTGATGCCTATGGTACTGGCGACGCTACTGTCGGCTGTTTTGGAAGCCAGGGCCATAGGAATCCTCAGGGAATGACAGGCCCAGCACCGTCCGCAGCCGAGCGGCCCGACCGGCGCCCTCCGTTACATCCGTGACGTCACGGACACCTGAGTGTGCGGTTTTTGGTTTTTGGGGCGCCGCGCGGCGTCAGCGGTCGCCTGCGGCCGCGCGGTCTGGGCGCGGCACGTGCGTGCCGTCCGATGCCTGGGGTGGGGAGGGGGGGGGGGGCAGCCGGCCGTTGTATCGAGGTCGATCACCGGCCGCCAGCTCGCGCGTCTGGCTTCTACCTCTTGTGACCATTGATCGGCTTTTTGCCGGTGTTGTTCTTGGCTGCTGCCACACGGCGTTGCTCATTACGTTTTTGCCCCCGGGGCGTTCCAAGTCGAATACCGGTGTATTGCGGGTGCTGTTACCAGGCTCATCCGGTGTCTGGGACTGGTGGACGGCTGCTGGCTATCGTTAGCCAGTCCCCGTGAGTGCTTGTATCCAGCTGGTGTCCAGTAGTCATCGATGTGTATAACGTAACTAGCCAGGAATCTGAGGGCTTACGATGCTTTGACTCCATGTCACTTCTCGCTATCTCTTTCTAAGGTTAACTGTGGACTTGTGGCTCAGGACTGGCCCACCATGTTACATCAGTACACCCGCGTTGCTAGTGCGAACAATATGTCGCGCGCTCGAAGTGTCCCCGAAACAGCCGCCACTATCTCCGCCCACCTAACCGGTCCGTTTGTGCGGCAGACCTGCTGAAGGAGCGGGACCACCTGAACGGCACGGTCAAGTCGTCGCCGCAGGCGCAGCACCAGGCTCCGCCGTACAGCGCGGCGCCGCCGCCGCCAGCCCCGGAGGCATCGGCCGGGGCGGCGGCGGCGGCGGCTGCTGCTGCCGGGCCGGCGCCGCCGCCGCGGCCAGAGCGGCCGGCCAGTCTGGGTAAGTCTGCCGGCCGCCACTCGCGGTGGCTGCTCTGCTACCAGTCGAGCAGCGCGCCGGCGGCGTCGGGCGCCGGCGCGCCGCTCACGCCGTCGCCGCCGCTGGCGCCGGCCGCGCCGCCGGCCTACGCCGCCGTCTCCTCGGCCCAGCGGCCGGTCAGCCTGCCCACGCCGCTCTACCGTCACGCGTCCGGTGAGTGTGGCCGCCGACGCGAGGCGGCCGCCGGGCCGAGCGCCCGCCCGTGCCTGCCGCCAGCGCGGCTCCCAGCCCGCCCGTGCGTCCGTCTTCTCTAGCTGTCTGAAGCCCGTGGTGTCGGGCCGACCGACCGCCGACCGGCCGGCCGCACGCGCCTGCGCATGGCGTGCGTCGCCGGCCGCCGGTGCCCCGCCTCTGCCTGGAGCCGTCCCGACGAACGCTGCACGCGCGCCCCCTGTCCAGGTGGCTCTCCCAGGACTCGCCCTCCGGTCTGCACGCCTCGCTCCGGCTGGCTGGACTGCGCACGATGACGTCACTGGATGCCGGTGCCGTGTCAGCTGCTGACGAGCAGCAGCCACGCCCGTCATTAAGCTGGCTGCTCTTGGCACCGTTTTCGTCTGTGTCTCACCGAGTGATCGCACCGTTTGTTCGTGACGTCAGCCGCATGGACGTTACTCCGGATGTGGATGGTTTCTCAGGTGTGATCGTCTAGGTTTTAGAAGCCTTCGGGTTTGCCTAGCTGTGAATGTGATGTATCAGCTACTTTCGATGCGTTCGATGTCGGCTGATTTCTTTGGTCTTCTTTCTGTCTTCCCAGGTGTGCATCCCTAGTTCTTCTAGCGTAGCGCTGGATCTGCGCATGCGTTCTCATGAATCTGCCTGCGTTCCTTCGGAATGTATTGTTATCTGGCGCAATTTTTCGTTTAGTTATCGTAGGTCTTGCAATGCGCAAACTATTTGCTTCTTTCAATCTTCCTGCGCATTTTCGGGTGATTTCCCACTATCTGGGATATAGCTGGTCCTTATATTTTGGCCATTTATCATGATGTAACTTACGCTATCGTGACATGTTTGATGCCGTTTAGTGCCAAGCTTGGTGTTGCATCAGCGGTTATTAACAGTCATTCACCAACTATGTCACATGTGTTATAATGTTGTGCGTTGTGCATGCCCGCGACGTTATTTGTGTAGTGTGATAGTTCTACATACATGCTCCCTAGCCCAGGGCCAACACGGGCAACACCATATTGTCCTGTGCCTTCCACTGGTCCTGTGACGGTCCTGTCTCGCTGTCTGTTTTAGCCCATGCTGCACTATTCTGATCTTCAGTTCAGAGGTCGTTTCACATTTGACTCATTTTATTTCTAAATACGACGCTCACGTACGATATGAGTCAAGGTCACCTCGTTAATTCTATGTTGGGCGCCATGTCGGCCTGCGTGGCCTTGGCTGATGCCTCGGACACCATCCTGACACCCGCCATGACATCCTGACACCCGCCATGACACCCTGACACCCGCCATGACATCCTGACACCCGCCATGACACCATACATCACCTCTCTTCTGATCCTCCACACCAACTGCACACTCTCACTGGCATTGGCTGCTTATACCCGCTCCCTCCCCGCTCCCGTACACGGCGCCGCCGCGCGCTGACCCGGCCGCTCGCTCCACAGCAGCGCCGCCGGTCGGCCGGGCCGAGTACGGCGCGCCCCCGCCGCTGCCGGCCGAGCAGCGGTTCTCGCTGTCGCGCCTGCCCGAGCCGCCGATCGCCGTCACAGACATCGGACCCATCCCGCCGCCGCCCATGTTCTCGAACGGGGCGCCGGCGCCGCTGGTGCCGCCGCCGCCGCCGGCCGGCGCGGCGGCCGGGGCCTCGGTCAGCACGGCCGTGCCGCTCGACCTCAGCGACCCGCGCTACGACGACCTCGAGGAGGAGGAGGTGAGGTGGCCGCCGGTCCCGCCGGGGCGGGGACGGGGTCCGCAGAGGCCGCCTGTCGCTGGCCGCTGATGTTCGGGCGGCGGGCCGACTGTGGCGGTCCGTTGTGAGGCTCGACTGCGAGCCTTGTGCTGGTGAGGGTGCTCTCGTTAGCTCGCTGCCTTTCACGGTTCATTGTTGTGCCCCGAGGCTTTGCTGTTGGTGAGGAGACGGCGCAATCAGCGCGGTTGTTCAAACAACGCCGTGTCAACTCGCACCGCTGCCTTTCACGCGTTGTTTGGACCAACACAGCTGGACCTCCGCTATGTCCAACAACGGTTTACACCTATCACAAAGCCACTGACGCGTCTGCCGGCAGGTGGTGTGCGGCGATTACGACGACGACGACGACGAGTACTACCCGATGGCGTCCGGCGCGTCGGGTCGTGGCGACGAGCCGCCGCCGCGCGAGCCGCGGCTCGACCTCAAGCCGCTCAAGTCGGCGCTGAAGAAGCCGCGCGCTGCGGCGCCGGAGCCGCCGCCGCCGCCGCCGGCGGCAGGCGCCCAGAGCCCAGCGCGGCCTCTCACCGTGCGTCAGGAGACAGCACCGTGAGTGGCGCGCGCCGCTGGCGAGGGCCGGCTGGGGCTTTCGGCGGGGCGTGTCGCCCGCGCCGCCGGGGACGTCTCGGGAGTGGCCGGGAAGGCGCTGAGTGGTGTTGGTGGTTAGTGAGGGTGTGCAGGGCAGTCCGCGCTGCGTCGGTGGTGGTGGTGAACAGATGTGAGACGGTGGGATACGGATGGTGGGTTGCGGGGAGAGGTGGTGATTTGGATGGGGAGGCGGGTGCCGGCGAGGTTACTGCACCGCCAGTGGTTCAGGGCGCACGTGTTGGAGGGCAGGGCGTCTGGCCATGGTGTCAGATCATGTTTGAAGACGAGTGGGAGAAGTTCAAATGTTGGAGCAGGAAGCATTTGGTCATGGTGCGAAGCGACGCAGTGGGTCACGAAGTGTATAGAACACAACATGATCAGGTCACAAGACACGTGACCTCACACTCCTACCCGTGTTGCCCTCTGCCCGTCGATGCCCGTGACCTCTAGTCGGCGCCTCGCGACCTTTTCCGAGCGGCGTGGCGCGATGATGGCTCATCGCGCCAAGCCTGGCTCACCGAGTCAGGCTGCCAGCCGTCATTATGGCCGGCGGTGCTGAGCCTGGCTTCTCCGTCCCCCGCCGCCCACCGCAGGCTCGGTCCGTCCCGGCAGCGGGGCGCCGGGGCTGACTGCGGGCTGCGGCGGAGCACGCCGAAGCCCGGTGTCGATGGCCCTTATGTTGTTCCCAGCATCGCCGCATGGACTTTGTTCGTAGTTTATTGAGACTAATACGTTGGCGGTGAATGAGACCTCGTATAGAGTCTGAAGAAATACGCTTCGTATAGACTTTCCACTAGCAACACCCGTTTCAATTTATGCTCTTCCCAGCGCGCCGTCTGAAGGTTTTATCCCCTTGAGCTTGTGCTAATATCGCTGTCCTCCGCGGCCACCGTCCTCCATCACATTCTCAGTACCTGGCTGCGGTGCCCCTTTCCCCCTTCGTGTGGCGTGCGGTGCTTCTCCCCTGCGTTTGGTGCCCCTTTTTCGCGTGCGGAGACCAGCACCCCTCCCTTGCGTGTGGTGTTGAGCTGCGGGGGTCCTCCCCCGTGTGTGGTGTGCGGTGTTTTCCCCGTATGTGTTGTGTGTGTGTGTGTGGCGCCCTTCCTGCGCGTGTGGAGACAGGTGCCCACCTCCCACCGATGCTCGTGTGTGGCGCCGAACGCCCCTGTGTGGTCTGACGCGTCCGCCTGTGCCTGGCCGCCCTCGGACAGGACGCGTCGCTTGCCCGGCCTGCCCAGGCTCAGGTTCAGGTAACGCTCGCCTACCGCCCCGGCGCTCGCCGGCTCGGCTGCCGGCCGCACGTCGCCGCTCGGCCGGTCTCCTCCGCCTGCCGCCGCTGTCGGTGTTCCGGGCCTCCCACCCTCGCCGGCCCTCGGCACCGGTCTCCTCCGCCTGCCGCCGCTGTCGGTGTTCCCGGCCTCCTACCCTCGCCGGCCCTCGGCACCGGTCTCCTCCGCCTGCCGCCGCTGTCGGTGTTCCCGGCCTCCCACCCTCGCCGGCCCTCGGCACCGGCCGCCCCCGCCTACCTTTGCCGCCTGCCGCCTCCCGTCCGACCGTCTGTTGCTTGCTCCACCTGCCCGTGCGTACCGTCTTGTTCGCCTCTCTCCGTTGTTCTTCGCCTTCCTTTCCTCTCCTCCTTCCACTTTGCCCTCCGCTTGTCTGTGTCGTGCGTTTGCTGCCCATGCCTTCTCCGTCCGCGCGCCTGCCCGCCCGCGTTCTCGTCTGCCCGTCTTGTCTGCCCGCCTGCCTGCCCGTCTGCCTGTCTGCCTGCCTGCCTGCCTGCCTGCCTGCCTGCCTGCCTGCCTGCCTGCCTGCCTGCCTGCCTGCCTGCCTGCCTGCCTGCCTGCCTGCCTGCCTGCCTGCCTGCCTGCCTGCCTGCCTGCCTGCCTGCTTGTCTGTCTGTACACTTGTCTGCCTGTCTGCCTGCTTGTCTGCCTGTACACCCGTCTGCGTGTCTGCTGGGCCCGTCTGATCCGGCTGAGCCCGCCGAGCCCTTTCAGTTGTCCGGCGCTCGGTCTGTCTGCCGAGCTCTCCACCAGCTGCTGTCTGACGCTCGGTCCGCCCGCTGAGCCCTTTCAGTTGTCCGGCGCTCGGTCCGCCCGCTGAGCCCTTTCAGTTGTCGGGCGCTCGTCCGCCCGCCGAGCCCTTTCAGTTGTCCGGCGCTCGGTCCGCCCGCTGAGCCCTTTCAGTTGTCCGGCGCTCGGTCTGCCCGCCGAGCCCTTTCAGTTGTCCGGTGCTCGGTCTGTCTGCCGAGCTTTCTACCAGCTGCTGTCTGGCGCTCGGTCCGCCCGCCGAGCCCTTTCAGTTGTCCGGCGCTCGGTCTGCCCGCCGAGCCCTTTCAGTTGTCCGGCGCTCGGTCTGTGTGCCGAGCTTTCTACCAGCTGCTGTCTGGCGCTCGGTCCGCCCGCCGAGCTCTGTCCCAGCTGTTGTCCGGCGCTCGGTCCGCCCGCTGAGCCGAGCCCTTTCCCGGATGTTTTCGACGACCTGCTCTCCGCATCCGGGACATGGCGTCGTCACGTTACGTGGCCGTGACGCGCGTCTCGGCCGAGGCCGGCTGTGGCGGCGGCTGGTCCGTGGCGGCCGGGCTCCGTGACGCGCTCCATACCGCGCCGCCGGCCGTGGCCGCCCGGATGTTGAGCATCGACAGTGTGGCTGCGCGCGACGCGGCGTGCGGGGTGCCGCCGCGGACCGTGGCGCCGCCCCGGGCAGCCGGCGCATGCGGCGGGCCCGCGGCGAGCGGCGCCGCTTCTTGTCCAGGCCGCGCCATGTGGGCGCTATGCGTGCACGTGCCTTTTATCGTATGCTGCCGCTGATGTGTGGTGTCCATAAGTCACGCGAATGCCGCGTTCTCGGGCGTGCTTCATGACCGTATTCGCCTGAAAGCTATCCGCGCCATGACGGGCGGCCTCTTGTCGAGCATGTGAAACGTCAAATGGTGGTCTCGGGGCCGCGTTATGGCCGTCGACCAACATGGCGCCATTTGTAGATGCGTTTGCTGTGCATGTTGACCGTGCTTTGCTGTTGGTGACGGCTGTGTTGGGTTTTAGTTTCTGGTCACATGCCCAACGTGTTGCTCGAAGTTCAGCAATGTAGGCGTAACCGATAACGGGTGGTATTCCTGTGCAGCCCGAGTCCCGCTGCTGTCGATTGATCTCATCTCGGATGGGTGCAGAGGCGCTGCAGCTGTGGGTGCGCACGCTGAGTGTCCGCCATCTTCCCTCCTGTGTTTGGCAAAACCTGCGCTGCCCTGTACCGACCCTGACTCACCGCCGCCTCATTCTCTCGCTCTCAGCGCCGCCGTCTGCCTCAGGTCATTCCGCTTCGGCGGCGGCGACCGGCAGGCGAACAAGGAGAACCAGCCGTCGGCGGCGGCGGCAGCGGCTGCGGCGGCCGCCGCCGCCGCCGCTGCCGCCGAGGACAGCGACGACAGTGACGGGCCCATCCCGTACCGCGACGACGACGAGGAGGCCGGCGAGAGCGGCGTGCTGACGCGGCTCGGCTCGCGCGTGCAGCGCACCGACAGCCTGGCCGTGAAGCTGGCGCTGCGGCCCGGCCGCCAGGAGCTGATCGACCGCAACATCATCCACGTGCAGACGGAGCAGGACCGCACCGACTGGCGCAGCGAGCTCAGCGCTAAGCTGAACCGGCGCCTCAGCCTGCGGCCTACCGCCGAGGAGCTGGAAGAGCGTAACATCCTCAAGAGTGAGCGTCCCCCCTCCCCCTTCCCCCCGCACGCCCCGTGGGCTGGTGTCCGGCGCCAGAGAGCGGGCAGGGCAGGGAGGAGAGGGCCCACAGTGGGAGCTGTTGGTGGCGTTCGTTAGAGGTGGGGGCCGGTGGTAATGAAGGCGTATGAGACTCCCGGGGTCATTTTGCGTCGTGCAGGGTGCTCAGATGGTAGCCTGGGTTATGAAAGTGCATACTCAATAAGGCCAGTTGCGCTGAAAAGAGGTGAGTGGTTGACATCCTCGGACATTATTGCAGGGAAACTGTTCCTAACGTTTTGAGTCCCAATAGGAACGGGGGGAGTGGGGCGGGCGATTGCCGTGCGTGGAGCTGGTGTTTGGGCCATCTCGCACTGCTGCACATACGGCCAAACAAGATAGGAGCTACTTCAGTCTCCGCTGGCTTTACGATGACGCTGATCTGGCGGCCTTTGTTGGCAAGTCAAAAGTTATGTGGCTGTAAACTAGCCCCGTATTAAAGATCCTTCCGGACAGTGCCGCGCAGATGGGTGACTGGTGGGCCCTAATAAATCATGGGCTTTTGAAACTTTCGCTGTTTGGTATTTTGTCCAGTTGTGCTCAAATGACCCCTGTGTTCCCTTTCTTGCGGTGATTCCTGTCTAATCAGTCATCACATCGGATTTCACTTCTGCCTTTTTATCAGTTACATCTCGGCAAACGATGTTTTCGCCATCGTGTGATGAGCGTTGCAACAAGCCCAGTCGCCAGAAGGATCCGACAAACGGTTCTGAGGCGTCTGGGCTGGTTCTCCGGACTCCTCAGTTCCTCGCGCGCCCGCAAGGCGCAGCGCGAGGCGCTGATACAACGTTGCCAGTGAGGCGACCCGCGCTCGTCCTCATCGAAAAGCCCCAACGGCGAATGTCTGTGTTCCGCCAGAGATGTCTCAGGAGGAGTCGCAGCGTGACATGGAGAACAAGAAGGCGACCCTGCTGCGAAAGCTCAGCTTCCGTCCGACGGTGGAGGAGCTCAAACAGCGCAAGGTGCGGTCGGCGACTGTGTGTCGTCCGGAGGCGTTCGGGGCGGCCGGCGACTGTGTGTCGTCCGGAGGCGTTCGGGGCGGCCAGCGACTGTGTGTCGCCCGGAGGCGTTCGGGGCGGCCGACGACTGTGTGTCGCCGGAGGCGTTCGGGGCGGCCGGCGGCTGTGTGTCGCCCGGAGGCGTTCGGGGCGGCCGGCGAATGTGTGCCGCCCGGAGGCGGGGGGAGGTGGGGGGCCGTGGTTGGCATGGATGGCGTAACGTCCTAAGGTCCGGCATGCGCTTCATTCCGTCGACTCCCGAGCATTAAGCCGCGGTTCGAGCCAGCTCTGGACTCGCTCAGTGGATCCGCCTCATTTCCGGAAGCGATGCCGAGAGAGTTGGTCCGGTAACGGATCACCTCCGGCACTCTGCCAACTGATCCGGCGTTGGGGGGAGGGGGGATACTCCGGTCCGGGTGCGTCACGAAAGCATGGAGAGTAAAATGTTTTCGTACAACCGCGAATGTCTTTGTTTTGTTAGTGATGTCCCAGGAGGCACAGCTCACATATTTGTTGGTACATCTGCTCTAAAATTTCCTCCACATATCTAGCCGTGAACTCGGGTGATTTCAGTAAATTCGGTCGACTCAGCTGTGATTTTTGCGCCACATAATTTTCGACGGAATATTTTCCACCTTGACTGAACATGCTTTTAGCTTTTGCCGGAGTCTGCTCCAGTTCCACCGCGCTTTGAGCACCGCTGTCTGACAGCGTGTTGGCGCCGTACCTCCATACGGTGACATAACAGACAGACATAACGCGGCCGGTACCGGTGTCAGAAGTTTGTTGCTCACCTGGTCTGCGCTCGCGCCGTGAAACCCAAATTGTCACGTGATGAAGATGGATCCGTGTTGACAACCATCCGTGTCTGTTTGCTCGCGCTCAGTTCGCTCGGCTGTCATCCCGCTCTCGGGGCGTCGTCTCGTGACTTGATGAGGCTTGTTAGCTTTCCGTTCTACCGCTATCCAACGCGCTCTCTCTGCCCTTGTGCTCTCGTGTATGTCGTGCCGGTCGTGATCAACCTGTCTGCGTTCCGAACAGCCCCTGCTGATCCCTATGCCCGCTCTGGCCCTGGGGGGCCCCCTGACCCCTCACTGCGAGCGGACCCCGTGACCCCTGACCCTGGGCTGACCGCCGTGACCCCTGACCTTAGACGGCAGCCGCAGCGGAAGCCGTCCGTGTCCGGCCGAGAATAGGCGGCCAGCCGATCCGGCAGTCTATTTCGGCCGACAGCGCGCCGGCTGGATTGTTTTGCTGCCGGCAGACAGGGCGAGTGGGCGGGGCGGGGTAGCGGCGGCGCCGGGCCTACGTCGCCCGTGCCGACCTCCATCTCCGGCTGCCGGTCGTGCTCGGATGCGGCCGACTGCAGCCGGCGCCGACCGCGCCGCTGTCGTGTGCGCTGACGTCGTGGCGCCTGGTTCGCAGGTGATCCACTTCAACGACTACGTGGACGTGACGCAGGCGCACGAGTACGACCGTCGCGCCGACAAGCCCTGGACGCGCCTGACGCCGCGCGACAAGGCCATGATTCGCAAGGAGCTGAACGACTTCAAGTCGTCCGAGATGGACGTGCACGAGGAGTCGCGGCACCTGACGCGCTTCCACCGGCCTTGAGTGGCCCGCTGTGATAGCCGCGCCCCCTTGTGATAGCCTCCGTCTGCCGCGACCAGCCGCCAGAGACATCTGTCGGCGGCGGCGTGCAAACAAAGTGCGCGTGGCGGCCGCCCGGTGCGCGCGGCGCGACGTCATTTGTATCATCGCGTGACAGTTGGTCGCGCACCACATCATGATCGCGGGCGGTTCGTATCATTGATCAGGTGTGTTTGAAGGGGTGTGATGATGTGAAAGCGTCCACGATACATTGTAGCCGTGAATCAGGTGTGTAGGCCTTAACTCTTGTCCTGTCCCTCTGTTAGTAGATTATTTAATCATCCTCAAAGCTAATTCCAGCGTCGGATCCATCTGCGCGTCCATGAAATGTCCATTTGTCACTCGCAAAATGTCACTGGTTTAAGCGCTCGCCATGTGCAGAAGTACCGGCGCTATGTAAAAATAATTTTGTCGATGTAATATCTGTTTATACTTGTTTTAATAAAGGCATTGTCTTCCGCATTGATATGGCGTCTTAGTTTAATCGCATTGTAATAATGAAGAGGTGAGCATTGAGATCGGTGCTTCACAAAAGCATCAGCCGAGACTGCGTACAGTGAGCGCGTGTTCGAGGCATTGCCTTCAGCAGAGCTCATTAATTCTCGACTGCTAGTGAATAGCGCAGAGTGGTTTGATCTTTGACTTCGTGGCGCCCTGGCAGAGTCGTGCTGTCTTTCCCATGCGGAGGAGGATTTGGTTTATTCTGAAACCATTTCAGAGGGCGTAGATGGGAATTTTGAGACATTAGTTTTGGTGTCTTCATAACGGGAGCACAGCATGTGCGCTGCATTTCATACCGTTCGAATATGGTTAAGCCCAAACATGTCAAATACAATTGTTACCGCGCCATGTGCGTGCAGACTTCTAGAATTCGACTAACGTTCGATTAACCTTCGAGATAATGTTTCAATCATGCGCAACGCATATCCAGGGAGGGCAGAGAGGTGTGCTTGGGTTTGAGATTCTGTTCTTGTTATCACTCCAAACGATATTTGGCGTGAGCTCTGAACTAAAGGACTCCTCCGGCGTTAGACTGCCTGGTGCTGCTGTTGGCTCCAGGATCCTTAGGCTCCCCAGGGTTGGCTCCAGGATCTTCAGGCTCCCCAGGTTTGGCCTCAGAACCCCCAGGGCCTGGTTGGGTGTGGCCGGTGGCCTTCTTGGCCTCAGGCTCCCCAGGGCCTGGTTGGGTGTGGCCGGTGGTGCTGTTGATGTCAGAGATCACATTTCGCGCGGTCAGTACTAATACTGGCGCATTTTCGAGAGCTATATTCGGTCGCGAACGCTGCATTATTTGATAAATCGCCTAGACTGGTTGGTTGGTTCAGCACCGTTGAACCCTGTAATGAGTTTTGGCGAGGGAAAATTGTAATTTTACGTAACGTGGCTTGCAATGCGATAGGGTTAATATCAATAAGTCCAGTGGCTACGCGGATGTCCAGTTTGCCCCCCCCCCCTCCCCACACCCCTCACCCAGGGCCCCATCATTCCCGGCATATATTACTTTCCCAAGCCACAATATGCCGATTCATGCGGTGTACGCGGAAATTCCCAGTTCAAACAATGGTATCCATTGTTGCCAACTTGACATGGGAGAGGCTCGATAAGAGCCTTTGCTGCGCAAAATTTCCCGACGCTCTTCCTGGACTTCTGAAGTTCTTCGACCCTTGTTCCTGGCAAACCGCTGGTGCCTTACAGTAGACTTCACATGACACGAGCAACTTCTGAAAATCTTTTAGCGGTTCGATGTATTGTTAGATACTTCCTGGTTCCCCATGTGGTGGTTCGCTGCGACTTGGATATTCGCATCCAATATTCATAAGCACGAACGACTGAAGTGTAAAGCGGCTCGAAAAGATGAGGTGTGCTCAAGCTCTACAAAGGGGCGAGTATTTTGAAGGTTGGCTGTGTTTTGATCTCCACTTGGATGTAAATGTGGTTTGAGATACTCATCAACCCTTGTCCGATAGCTCCATTCTTACTACACCCTCGCGGGATGGGAGGACTGACAACCACTTCCAACCCCTGAACAAAGACATGTAGAGCACTAGGATAAATCCGGCGCAATCCACATGATTTTAGGTATTTAGGTATATCCAGGTTTTGGGTTTCAGGTCAATAGATGACCTTCCAGGTCCCAGTAGTGACCTTAGTGAGGCCTTATTAGGAATGAGACGGGATGCTGTCGCCGATACGATTCCCAGACTGAAACTTTTTATGTTTTTCTTTTTACTTCAACGAAAACAATTTCTGTAAGCATCATCGCGTTTTGTGCTATCTTCCGGTCCTGTTGACGACCCGGGTTTGAGGCCGGTGTTTTCTGAGGGACCTCTCAAGGTCACGGAAACACCACCGCAGTTGACCTGGCCACTGGAGTACATGATACACAATCCGTCCAACGGCGCTGCCATGCTGAAGTATGTGGGATGAAGGGGAGAAGGCTGATGCAATGATAATCATTTAAGCCGCCTTTCACTACTCGCTGTCTTTTAGGATGATTTGTGACCTTGTGGGTCAGCCTTGGCCGTTGAAATCAAGCATTCTATATATTGCTTTGCACTGCAGAAATTTGTGCCACGATCACAACATCAAATTGATCAATTGTGTGACCAAATTTTGTTATGATATTTCAGTTGGGAATCATTTGGATTGTATGCATTTGATATTTTGCAAAGGCAATGTTAAACAACTTATGAGTGCAACTTATAGTTAAATATATATATATATATATATATATATATATATATATATCAGAACCACTCACGTTACGATGAAGTAAGATGCATAATAATAAGATATCCGACCTTATGTCAATGCAAGATTAAATACACTCTGCTTATAATTGAATACCACGTGAAAGACCTGCACCAGGCTAAGTGAGGTTGCAGCGTTACAACGCAGCGCGATGATAGTCAAAATGCAGATGTTACGCAGTGAATGACAAGGCTAACCACACGCGCTCAAGCTGTACTGGACTCGTCTTGCGAATGTAATAAGCAAATGCCAGGAAACTAAGATGATGCATGCAGGCACCAGTAACTTAAGTTTATGACCTTACTTGGCTTCTGGAAGATCTTTGCCGCTCGCATACAAGTCGGAATAATCAAAGTAGGTTGAAAAACACGCTGTCACCAATTCATTGCATGTATTAGTGTTCAGTATGCTTACTTTTCTATTAATTGCCATCCATATCTGAACCTGTACGGTGAGTTTGCACCAACCACAGCACAGACTACGCTTATTGGTAATAACCTGCTTTGTATCACAATGTTCGTCAAAATACTAGTGTGGTGGATAGGGGGGAAATCGTGGCTTTAAGCGCAAGCGCCATAAATGCCGTGCAAAAGAAGAACGCTTTTGACAGAGCTTGAACTGTGATGACCTGACCCTTCGACCTCAGACACTACACGCCTGATATCAAGAGATATGCGAGTCATTCTCATCAGGAGGTATTAGAGCACATGGTACGCAAGCTTCCATGTATCATAAAAACTAACGTGAATGGAAAGTCACAGGCAGGGTGAGAACTGCATTCCCATGAGGAATATAATCTTGATAACACATTTGAATCGCCATCTGCGAATGAATGAACAGGACCGTCCCTTTCACCCTCTGTGCGGCACACAAAACCATCGTTATCACCAAAATGAAAGACATCAGCCTTTTTATCGTTTGTACAACGTGTCACTCCTTCATCAAGAGTGAGGAGGGCATAGTGGACAACCGGCAGGCATTAAATTTCTTTGAATATTGCCAGTGAGTTCATAAAAATCGCAGAACACGTCCTGGTCAGCAGCCCTCCGGCGTTAATGCTGACAATAAACAAGCATGCTTGTGGAGCTCTATAAGCCAGCGGCAATGTTCCTTGGATAGATCTGTATCATTATGTAAACATATAATTCTTATCTACACACGCATTGCGCGCGATGTCTGCACTGGAAACACCGGGGGGTTTAGAGGCGTTTCCATTCGTCCGGAGCGTGGTAGCGCTCAAAGACTTTTGCCTCTAGCTGGGATGTCGGCACCATCTCTTTGAAAGCACCCATATGGGAATCCCCTGGAACACATGCCGCATCGTAAACCGGAAGTCACTCCAGCGTGGCCAAGTCGGCTGCCCCAAGTCACGTACCAGTGATATGCAGGCACATTTTTCCCAAACGTAACGACACTGATTTAATTATGGGTTAAGAAGCACATAAATGGCCTATGATCGTCGCTGACCGTTGGGGATGGGTGACACCTCCCACATTTCGATCACTTATCGTCCCAGATTACTATGCTGATAAAACCGGAGGACATGCGTCGCTTAAGTCTGCATAATATTCGGAGGTTCGCATATTCGACACAATCGATAACTACCGGCCCCTTCCATTTTGTTGAAACTTAAATAAAATGTACTAGTGCTGGTCACATGCTGGTAAAACCGTGAAATCACACGTCTAATATTTTGGCGGTTATCGGTTACCGAAAATCCCATCTGCCACAGGGCTACACGTAAAACATAGTTTATTTTAGATGACTCATTTCCGAACCGAAGCCGCACCATCAGATAGCACTTCATTGACCAAGTTGAAGAGTGATGACGATATTGATAACCTATCAGCTCAAGCGATATGAGTTATCAATGAGTGACGATTCGTCAGACTTTGTCGAAGCTTTTGTACAACGTGTGGCTGCTGCCCGATCACATGCACGTAAAATCACATAGTCGCCTATCTTATACCTCCGCAGCTATTGGTTACTGAAAATCCCATCTGCCGTAGGGATACGTGCATTAATATTGTTGTTTTAGATAAATCGTTTTTGTTTCGTTTTCAAAGCGAGACCATTCGATAGCACTTTATTAACAAAGCCAAGGTGTCATAAGAAAATATCGATAACCTTCCTGATCAACTGATATTAGCTGTCGATAAATGCAAGCCTCTCCTTTTCCTTGGAACTTAAGCGTGATGTACAATTTATGCCCGGCCACAGACTGAAAAAAATCATGGACAAGCACATCCGATAAGCTCGATAAGCCGATCCAATTTCCAATGACTCATTGAGCTACATGTGAAAAATGTTTGCTAATGACCTGCTGTTACAATGTTAAATGTTTTTAGTGACCTGTTCTTACCAAAAGTTTAACATAATATAGCAAGCTATGAACGCAGCCATGGTATGATAAAAGCATATCGATAACATGTTAGGCCAAATGGTGTATGCTATCGATAAGTGTATATGTCAAAAGCCCCTGCGATTTCGTTGAAACTTAACACGCGCTCGGGTGGTCGCTTAACACGCGCTTAATTGACCTCCCCCCTAAGGCTTTTCCAGAGTGGTTTCCGAACAGCGTGGTGTAGTCGCGCCAAATACTGCATAGCCATAGAAAATTGAATAGAGGATCGTTTGGCATAAATCATTTAGATGTACCTTGTAAGGTCGCTGACCTATCGCAGGTCAAAGTCAGGCCATGGTTTCAGGGAAGGC